GTTTACATGCGTTGTTATTGGTTAACTGTCCGTTGCCATGCGTTTACATGCGTTGTTATGGGTTAACTGTCCGTTGCCATGGGTTATCTGTCCGTTGCCATGCGTTAACATGCGTTGTTATGGGTTAACTGTCCGTTGCCATGGGTTATCTGTCCGTTGCCATGCGTTTACATGCGTTGTTATGGGTTAACTGTCCGTTGCCATGGGTTACCGGTCTGTTGCCATGGTAACCGGTCCGTTGCCATGGGTTACCTGACCGTTGCCATGGTTAACTGTCGTTGCCATGCGTTAACTGTTCGTTGCCATGCGTTTACATGTGTTGTTATGGGTTAACTGTCCGTTGCCATGCGTTAACATGCGTTGTTATGGGTTAACTGTCCGTTGCCATGGGTTATATGACCGTTGCCATGGTTAACTGTCCGTTGCCATGGGTTATATGACCGTTGCCATGGGTTAACTGTCCGTTGCCATGGGTTATCTGTCCGTTGCCATGCGTTTACATGCGTTGTTATGGGTTAACTCTCCGTTGCCATGCGTTTACATGCGTTGTTATGGGTTAACTGTCCGTTGCCATGGGTTATCTGTCCGTTGCCATGCGTTTACATGCGTTGTTATGGGTTAACTGTCCGTTGCATGGGTTACCGGTCCGTTGCCATGGTAAACCGGTCCGTTGCCATGGGTTAACTGTCCGTTGCCATGGTAACGGTCCGTTGCCATGGTAACGGTCCGTTGCCATGGGTTACCTGACCGTTGCCATGGGTTAACTGTCCGTTGCCATGCGTTAACTGTTCGTTGCCATGCGTTTACATGTGTTGTTATGGGTTAACTGTCCGTTGCCATGCGTTTACATGCGTTGTTATGGGTTAACTGTCCGTTGCCATGCGTTTACATGCGTTGTTATGGGTTAACTGTCCGTTGACATGCGTTTACATGCGTTGTTATGGGTTAACTGTCCGTTGCCATGGGTTATCTGTCCGTTGCCATGCGTTAACATGCGTTGTTATGGGTTAACTGTCCGTTGCCATGGGTTATATGGACCGTTGCCATGGGTTAACTGTCCGTTGCCATGGGTTATACGACCGTTGCCATGGGTTAACTGTCCGTTGCCATGGGTTACCGGTCCGTTGCCATGGTAACCGGACTGTTGCCATGGGTTACCGGTCCGTTGCCATGGTAACCGGTCCGTTGCCATGGTAACCGGTCCGTTGCCATGGGTTATATGACCGTTGCCATGGGTTAACTGTCCGTTGCCATGCGTTAACTGTCCGTTGCCATGCGTTTACATGCGTTGTTATGGGTTAACTGTCCGTTGCCATGGGTTATCTGTCCGTTGCCATGCGTTTACATGCGTTGTTATGGGTTAACTGTCCGTTGCCATGGGTTTATCTGTCCGTTGCCATGCGTTTACATGCGTTGTTATGGGTTAACTGTCCGTTGCCATGCGTTTACATGCGTTGTTATGGGTTAACTGTCCGTTGCCATGTGTTTACATGTGTTGTTATGGGTTAACTGTCCGTTGCCATGGGTTACCTGACCATTGCCATGGGTTAACTGTCCGTTGCCATGCGTTAACTGTTCGTTGCCATGCGTTTACATGTGTTGTTATGGGTTAACTGTCCGTTGCCATGCGTTAACATGCGTTGTTATGGGTTAACTGTCCGTTGCCATGGGTTATATGACCGTTGCCATGGGTTAACTGTCCGTTGCCATGGGTTATATGACCGTTGCCATGGGTTAACTGTCCGTTGCCATGGGTTATCTGTCCGTTGCCATGCGTTTACATGCGTTGTTATGGGTTAACTCTCCGTTGCCATGCGTTTACATGCGTTGTTATGGGTTAACTGTCCGTTGCCATGGGTTATCTGTCCGTTGCCATGCGTTTACATGCGTTGTTATGGGTTAACTGTCCGTTGCCATGGGTTACCGGTCCGTTGCCATGGTAACCGGTCCGTTGCCATGGGTTAACTGTCCGTTGCCATGGTAACCGGTCCGTTGCCATGGTAACCGGTCCGTTGCCATGGGTTACCTGACCGTTGCCATGGGTTAACTGTCCGTTGCCATGCGTTAACTGTCCGTTGCCATGCGTTTACATGTGTTGTTATGGGTTAACTGTCCGTTGCCATGCGTTTACATGCGTTGTTATGGGTTAACTGTCCGTTGACATGCGTTTACATGCGTTGTTATGGGTTAACTGTCCGTTGCCATGGGTTATCTGTCCGTTGCCATGCGTTAACATGCGTTGTTATGGGTTAACTGTCCGTTGCCATGGGTTATATGACCGTTGCCATGGGTTAACTGTCCGTTGCCATGGGTTATACGACCGTTGCCATGGGTTAACTGTCCGTTGCCATGGGTTACCGGTCCGTTGCCATGGTAACCGGACTGTTGCCATGGGTTACCGGTCCGTTGCCATGGTAACCGGTCCGTTGCCATGGTAACCGGTCCGTTGCCATGGGTTATATGACCGTTGCCATGGGTTAACTGTCCGTTGCCATGCGTTAACTGTCCGTTGCCATGCGTTTACATGCGTTGTTATGGGTTAACTGTCCGTTGCCATGGGTTATCTGTCCGTTGCCATGCGTTTACATGCGTTGTTATGGGTTAACTGTCCGTTGCCATGGGTTATCTGTCCGTTGCCATGCGTTTACATGCGTTGTTATGGGTTAACTGTCCGTTGCCATGCGTTTACATGCGTTGTTATGGGTTAACTGTCCGTTGCCATGTGTTTACATGCGTTGTTATGGGTTAACTGTCCGTTGCCATGGGTTATATGACCGTTGCCATGGGTTAACTGTCCGTTGCCATGCGTTAACTGTCCGTTGCCATGCGTTTACATGTGTTGTTATGGGTTAACTGTCCGTTGCCATGCGTTTACATGCGTTGTTATGGGTTAACTGTCCGTTGCCATGGGTTATATGACCGTTGCCATGGGTTAACTGTCCGTTGCCATGGGTTATATGACCGTTGCCATGGGTTAACTGTCCGTTGCCATGGGTTACCGGTCCGTTGCCATGGTAACCGGTCCGTTGCCATGGGTTACCGGTCCGTTGCCATGGTAACCGGTCCGTTGCCATGGTAAACCGGTCCGTTGCCATGGTAACCGGTCCGTTGTCATGGGTTATATGACCGTTGCCATGGGTTTAACTGTCCGTTGCCATGCGTTAACTGTCCGTTGCCATGCGTTTACATGCGTTGTTATGGGTTAACTGTCCGTTGCCATGGGTTATCTGTCCGTTGCCATGCGTTAACATGCGTTGTTATGGGTTAACTGTCCGTTGCCATGGGTTATCTGTCCGTTGCCATGCGTTTACATGCGTTGTTATGGGTTAACTGTCCGTTGCATGCGTTTACATGCGTTGTTATGGGTTAACTGTCCGTTGCCATGTGTTTACATGCGTTGTTATGGGTTAACTGTCCGTTGCCATGGGTTATATGACCGTTGCCATGGGTTAACTGTCCGTTGCCATGCGTTAACTGTCCGTTGCCATGCGTTTACATGTGTTGTTATGGGTTAACTGTCCGTTGCCATGCGTTTACATGCGTTGTTATGGGTTAACTGTCCGTTGCCATGTGTTTACATGCGTTGTTATGGGTTAACTGTCCGTTGACATGTGTTTACATGCGTTGTTATGGGTTAACTGTCCGTTGCCATGCGTTAACATGCGTTGTTATGGGTTAACTGTCCGTTGCCATGGGTTACCGGTCCGTTGCCATGGTAACCGGTCCGTTGCCATGGGTTACCGGTCCGTTGCCATGGTAACCGGTCCGTTGCCATGGTAACCGGTCCGTTGCCATGGGTTACCTGACCGTTGCCATGGGTTAACTGTCCGTTGCCATGCGTTTACATGTGTTGTTATGGGTTAACTGTCTGTTGCCATGCGTTTACATGCGTTGTTATGGGTTAACTGTCCGTTGCCATGGGTTATATGACCGTTGCCATGGGTTAACTGTCCGTTGCCATGCGTTAACTGTCCGTTGCCATGCGTTTACATGCGTTGTTATGGGTTAACTGTCCGTTGCCATGGTTATCTGTCCGTTGCCATGCGTTAACATGCGTTGTTATGGTTAACTGTCCGTTGCCATGGTTATCTGTCCGTTGCCATGCGTTTACATGCGTTGTTATGGGTTAACTGTCCGTTGCCATGCGTTTACATGCGTTGTTATGGGTTAACTGTCCGTTGCCATGGGTTACCGGTCCGTTGCCATGGTAACCGGTCCGTTGCCATGGGTTACCGGTCCGTTGCCATGGTAACCGGTCCGTTGCCATGGTAACCGGTCAGTTGCCATGGGTTACCTGACCGTTGCATGGGTTAACTGTCCGTTGCCATGCGTTAACTGTCCGTTGCCATGCGTTTACATGTGTTGTTATGGGTTAACTGTCTGTTGCCATGCGTTTACATGCGTTGTTATGGGTTAACTGTCCGTTGCCATGGGTTATATGACCGTTGCCATGGGTTAACTGTCCGTTGCCATGCGTTAACTGTCCGTTGCCATGCATTTACATGCGTTGTTATGGGTTAACTGTCCGTTGCCATGGGTTATCTGTCCGTTGCCATGCGTTAACATGCGTTGTTATGGGTTAACTGTCCGTTCCATGGTTATCAGTCCGTTGCCATGCGTTTACATGCCTTGTTATGGGTTAACTGTCCGTTGCCATGCGTTTATATGCGTTGTTATGCGTTAACTGTCCGTTGCCATGGGTTACCGGTCCGTTGCATGGTAACCGGTCCGTTGCCATGGGTTACCGGTCCGTTGCCATGGTAACCGGTCCGTTGCCATGGTAACCGGTCCGTTGCCATGGGTTACCTGACCGTTGCCATGGGTTAACTGTCCGTTGCCATGGGTTAACATGCGTTGTTATGGGTTAACTGTCCGTTGCCATGGGTTATCTGTCCGTTGCCATGCGTTTACATGCGTTGTTATGGGTTAACTGTCCATTGCCATGCGTTTACATGCGTTGTTATGGGTTAACTGTCCGTTGCCATGGTGATGTAAGTGTTAAGGCTTCTGCGAGAATGGTGGAACCTGCTTACAGACCTCCAACGGCACCAAACTTTGTCTGTGCCCCACCAAGTACGTCGGGCACCAGTGTGAGCTGGACAAATGTCAGTTCTGCGGAACGGGCAAATGTTTGACGTCAGCCTCAGGGGAGGTTTCCTGCAGGTGAGTATCGTGTGGGACGTGGTTACTGTGCTACATCGATTAGACTTGGATTTGTAAATATTTGCTGGCTTTTATTTTGAACTGCCAGAATATTCTTCACCCAAGGTCACCAGCAATCTGTGGATTTTGTGCTTCCTAACAGTGCACAGCATGGAATATATCATTCTGAAATCGTGGGAATCATTATTATTATTGTTATTCTGCTGCATTAGGATCTTCTTTAATATTTTTTCCTGTATGTTTGAAGCTGTCCAAATGGTCAGATCCAACCCAGCTGCTATACCTGTTCAAACTACTGCGCACATGGACAGTGTTCAGTAGACAATCGCACACTGCTGCCACAGTGCACGTAAGATCCCAGTAGACATTAACAGGCATATATATAATATTTTATTGTTTTAATGTCCGCTTAGCACACTTACCCACATATCCACTGTGTACCTCTATAACCAGGTGTGCTGTTGGATGGAGGGGATACAGATGTGATATCACAGCTCCTATAGAGTCTCATACTTCTAGTGGTAGTAAGTCAGCCACTCCCTGACCAAATCAAAGTTTGTTCATAGAACATGCACTTTGGTCCTATTTGCTTATCATTATTTGTTCACTCATAGGTACTGCGTCAATCATCGTCCCAGTGCTGCTGCTGCTGTTGCTGGCATTGCTGGTGGTTGGTGCCATCTTGTGGTACAAGCAGAGAATGCGTGGGTGAGTACTAGTTCGGGACGCTTTTTCATCTTTAAAAAATTCAAACTCCATTTGTCATCTGGTCCTCACCGTTCTGGTCTTTCTTTCTCTCTTACCTTTTGATAACCATCTATTTCCCTGTCTCCCAGGTCTCTATGCCCGGGCAAATCTCGTTCTCAGTGCTCGCGGTAACTTGATAGGGTTACATAATTCACCTGTTGACCCCCAATTCCTCTCTTCTCCTTTCCCTAAAATACAGTCAGACTGCCTTTGCTATGCTTTTGTCTATCCTTTTGTCCATTCTGTCGTTCAGTGCCGAAATCTTTCCATTGTCCTCGCTTGCCATCTTCTGTTTGGCTTCCATGGGGTTTCCCACCCAACAACACAGGGGGCCTACTCACTCTGGAATAGCTCTGGTGATGCACGAGTAGTTGAACTTTTGACGTCCTCCCATTGTCCTCCATGCCTTTCCCTGTTTACATTTGTAAATATTAGGCTCAGGCAATGTGCTTGCAGAGTAAAATGTATAACTGTGCATCTCTGAAAAATGTTTATATGCTTGCAAACAGCCGAATATTTGCAATCTAATCCAGCATTCTCCGCAATGGACATGCTGCAGTATATTCGATAGGTTTGATCAAATGGCCTTTTGACACAAAAGCTCATTTGAAAACCTTTGATATATGTTGTCTTGTTCTTGTCAATTGTACATAGCCAGTGCTGAGTGAATTTATGATATGGGTTTATGATAAGACACCTTTTAGTCACTCTAGCTTTCTTCTGAGGTTAGCACATCAATTCTTTTAAACAAGGGTCTGAATCTGCTTCTAAGATAATTGTTGATCTGTTTCTCTGCAGTGCCAAGGGCTTCCAGCACACCGAATGACCAACGGGCCATGAATGTTGAGATTGGAAACCCTGCCTATAAGATCTATGAAGGAGATCCTGATGATGATGCTGGGGAACTTCTGGACTCCGACTTTGCTTTAGACCCAGACAAGGTAACAAAGCTTAAAAAAGCAGTTTCATTACAAAATATCTGAAAATGCCTGGTAGTGGCTAACCATGCAGATATTTCCACATTTATGAGTCCTTTTGTGAGTTTTTTTTTTTTTTTAATGAATTGGTTTTGGTTGTGGAGTCATTATAGACAGTAAATAGACCCTTCTTTGTGATCTAAAGAACACTGGATGAAAGTAGCTGGGTTTCTCAATATATTCCTGTCCTTTGGACGTCTAGTGAAAAACAGTTTTCTGTCTTGACTGATCTGTAATCACTTTCTACATTTATATCCAGTTTTTTGCCATCGAGATCACCACAGTCCAAATGCAAAAGCTTTAAAGCAAGACTTAGGAAACCAGTGGGTGTCGTTATGGTATTTACTTCTGGCATCTGTAATGAATTTTGGAATGAATATTGTTAGAATTATGTGAATCATATACTTTAGTTCTGATGAGTGGCTCCATAGTCTCATGGTTTACACGTTGTGGCTCGAGTGGTTTGTATACAGATCAATGCTTGGGCAAGATACTGAACCCTGAGTTACCTCTGTGTGTGTGAATGCATTCAGCAGATAAAAGCACAAGGCACTATATAAATACCATTTCTTTTACATTCACCTAAGAAGTGAAAAAATCTCCAGTTTAATCCCAGCTGGAGACAAAAATCCCTTGGGGGTGTCAGGAACGGAAATCCACTGTGAATAAGGGGAGCAGCTGAATAAAGCTTTTATGCTAGAGCCCTCATGGTCACTATATTCAAACACTTTTCACCACAATCATAAAACATCAAATGAGGAATTGTCCATAAAGTCCTGAGTGCTTAAAAAGAAGTTGCAAGTTCTTCACTGGAAATACACCTACTGGTTTGTTGGGGGCAGATGATTAGTGCCCAGACTTTCAGAAACAAATAACCAAACACAGAAAACATAACAAACCACAAATGTCTGCCAGGGTTTCAGCTGAGCTGGGAAACATCTTGTTATTTATGCGAGCTGAGCCTATTTGAATAAGAAAAATACTGCTTCTTTCACAATATACCAAATCTTTTCATTTCTTTTGCCTGAGTCACTGAGAAATTTTCTTCACTCCGCAGCCCACCAACTTCACGAACCCAGTGTATGCCACCCTGTACATGGGTGCCCACAACAGCCGCAATTCTCTGGCGAGCACTGATGAAAAGAAGGAGCTCCTCTCCAGGTTGACGAGGACATGAGCGACCCCCTGGCATAGACCTCGGCATGGACTGAACTCTGCCAACATTGCCCTGCCTCGCCCAACCTAGAGCCAGCGAGCTCTCTCATTTTATGCCTTTACCAACTGAAAAGAAAAGCAACAAAAAAACATAAAAACGAGAACACTGTATAAAATGTATAAAATGAAGAACTACTTTTTTAAGTGATTGCAGTATTATATTTTGTTCTTTGACAAAAAGGAAAACAAATCCTCTGGTGACGGAAAAGAAACCATTTTATAGACATTTTATCCAGTTCTTTTTCATTTGCTCACTTCCTCACAACTTCTCTCTCTCTCTCACACACACACACACACACACACACACACACACACACACACACACACACACCTTTCTCACGCATTCAGCCACTACCTCTGTGCAAATGTAAAAGATACAAATGGCAGTGGAACAATTTTAATTTTTTTATTTTGTATAAATTGTGTAGGGGAAAAGAAAAAAAACATTTTTGTTCCATCCTAGAAAATGTTGCCAAGTCTTCGTTGTTCATGAAAGAGAGGAGATGCGTCAGTGCTCACCACGAATGCTTCCTGGATGCTGGTTCACATTTTGTGTATATGTATGTTTGCTACTGGAGGTCTTAGAGGGAAAGGCGAGGTGATGTTTAACTGCACGTGTATGCACAAGAGACTCGGCATCTGATCTGTTGTTGCAAAGAGCTACATTCAAGTGATTGTCTTTTACCTCCTTGCACAGACTAAAGTTACATATATATATATATTATAAATATATATATTTCCATATATATGAACCTATTAACAAAGTGTCTTGAAAATATACCCAGGAATACAAACATCAGTAACAAATAGCAGTCTGTACTTTTTAATGTATTTCTTTTGTTTTTTTAAGTCATTGTATAATTGACATACTTTGTGTCACCGATGAATGAATCATGGCAGTGTGTTAGTGTGCGCTGGATGAAGATGATTGTAATTAAGTCCACATTCCAGGATGAAAAAGCCTGGGATGATATCCGTGGCCTTGGATTAGCCTACTGCAGGACACCCTGGACAGGAGCTGGGGCTTTGTTCTGAAACTCTTCTGGAGTAGAGACAAGCTTCTGTGAATTTCCGGTCATCCTCTAAAAAAAAAAAGAACCTGCGACCAGTAATTAGCCGAGAACGGTTGCTTTCAACTTTGTTCCTCGTCTTTTGATTGTAAACATACTTTCAGGAAAGGCCAGGGAGACCGTCTGATGGTACGTACTTCTGTGGGAGGTTGGATTTTTTTTTTCTTTCCTTCACTGTATGTAATTACATGGACATGTAATTTAGGTTAATGCTCATTGTTAAGTGCATTCTCAGGAAGGAGACTGATCGGCTTCCTGATAAGCATTCCTTTCTCCATTCCTTTGCTTGCTGCTAACCATCCGGATTTTTAGTCTGGGAAGTGTGGCTCTATGTCTCACTGCTCACCGTATTGCTTTTAATCACCTCAGCTTGTCAGCCATACCTACCATATCACTGCATGGTGCTCACACACACACAGACACACTTAACCAAGAGGAAACTCTGGCTTTAGTCCTCAAATGTTAACAGTATTCATCACATTTTTTCTTTAAATTCTGTTTTTTTTTCTTGCTTATTTGCTTTTAACATCCTGCTCTGTTAAATCGCCATGTAAGTTGGAACAATCATATTTCATTTGGAGAATTTCTTTAACTGGCAAAAACCCACGTTTGTGGTTCTGATTGTTTTGTTATAATTCGATTTCTTTTTGATATAAGGAATTAAATGGATTTTTATAGTAGAAATGTACGATGGCCGTGTCTGTCATTTGGAAAGATGGAGAGGAGAAGCAGTCTACTTCATACTTCAGTACATTAGGAAATAGCCTCACTTATCATTAAAGAATGAAGAAATAAAACACAAACATGTAGAAAGCACTTGTTTGGATGTTGCTTAATCTGGAAAGGCTTCTGAATTGTAATGAAAGTCTTTGGTCTTGTTACATAAATCATCATATTTATTAAACAGGAAGTGTTGTCTTTCAGTCAACAGACAATCCCAAGAATAGCTTTTTCTTAAAAAAAAAAGTATGTTTCTTTTGATTTCAGTACACACAAGAATAGTGTTTTATACAATCTTGAGCCAAATTAAGTAGTGTTAAGATGTATTGCTCCCTTTGTGCCAATGTCATGCAAGTCTCTAAAGCTGTTAGGAGGAATAATCTGTATTAAAACGGATAAGAAAAAGAAGCTTTAAATGCACTTCATCCTTCATCTGTTAATAATACATTTAGAGCAGGCTAACCAAACAGCAAGTGTGCCTTTGAAACAGTAGTCCACCTGGAGTCTCCTTCATGCGTCTGTCACCTCCTAACTGTCACGCACGGTGTGACAGGAAGTGTTGTCAAGGCACGTAATATTCTGTTTTTAACCACCACTTGGTCAAGGCACAAAACTCTGGGAACTCTCGTGTCAGCTGTTCTGATGTACTAGAGGTAAAAAGGAACTAACATACCGTTAAGCTTTTTTTGTGCCTTCAACTTGCATATTGTTGTCAGGATTATAAGGCTAATGTTATATTACAAGGCAGTAAAAAATACAATCTTTACCAAATGAAAGATGTAAAATAAACAAATTATGGCTGACTGACGAGAAATAACACAAAAAGGCACTTCTTAAGCGGAACATCAAACTTTGGAGTAATTTGGTTTGTCTAGCTTGACAAGAAGAACCAGTACAGTGATGGTCTTTGCTCCCAGATACAATCAAAATAAACAATATTAAGTCTGATTGAAGGCGTCTCGAAGACTTGGCGTAACGCTGCGAAACAGTCCACGAATGTCTGTTATAACATCGCACCTCCTCTGTTATTTGCAGGAGGCTTTTGCAGGTGTCTTAAGGCAGGCGTCCCAGCAGCAGCAGAAGATCGGCAATTTATCTTGGCTGCCTCCCAGTTAAATCCTGCTATGACTGCGTAACCTTCGGATATTAATGGGTTTTAGGAATGTCCACATTAAGATCCACATGCT